CATCTTCTCCAGATTCCTTTGCGAAAACTCATGGAACTAGAAGTTGCAAAAAGTCATTCATAGTCCAAAATGCCTGAAGAACTCTTTTAATGAGATTTTTCAAGACTTTTCATCTCTTTCCCCTACTGCCTGCCTTCCCAGGCAGGAAGCTGTGTAGAGTGTGATGTTTGTGTGCCAATATCTAAAGGCTCAATCCTTTGCTTCCAGAGGCTGCAGTGAGTGTACACAGGGGGTCAGTGGTTAATGCCAGGGCCAAAGTGGCTGCTGGTGCCTGAGCGGGAGCCTAAGGGCCTGAGCTCAGTCAGGCCAGGCTGCAGATGGGAAAGAGGGAGAGTTCTTCAGGGGGAGGGGATAGCGCAATGTTAAAAAACCACGAGGTAGGATCTTGGTAAGATTGCTTCAGAGTTGGGGGTGTCTGCCATTGAGGGACCTGAGAGGCGATGGGTGGGCGATTCAGGTGCCATCTTGGATTGTTACGGATGCAGGAGTTTTTGGTGGAGGGGTAGGTGGAGGGCAGCTTGGGCCTGCACAGGGCTCTGTCTAGTCCCCACAGTGGGAAGCAGTCGCCATCTCTAATTGTCAGTGTGTCAACTGCCAGCTGGGGAGCCTTAGGTCAATCGTGAGTCCACTATGGGTCTCAGTCTCCCCACCCAGGAGCAAAGGGACTGGACTAGGTGGGCGTCTCAGGTCACTTCCAGGTTTGACATCTGATGACCTTCTGACCTGGTATCAGGAATGCTTAGGAGGGGGTGGGAGTCCGCTGCCTCCACTCCAGCCTTGGCAAGGTCATTATGCGGCCTCTACCTACGATGAGGAAGAGGATGTGAACTTTGTCCTAGCCAACCCGTGGGACCATCCAGAGCAAAAGCACAGGAATATAAGGTGCAGGGAGGCAGGGTCAGGTGGAAGTGGGGTTTAAGCTCAGGACCAGTGCCTGAGAGTAGACCCTGCACTTCAGTGGCCCCGTCGCTAAGAACTGCGTCTCAGCTTCTCTGAGAGGCACGGGTCCTTGCAAGACTCTTCTGCACCTCCTGGGCTTTGCCTGGCTGTCCCCTCACCTGGGGTCCCACCAGCCTGGGGAATACCTACCCTCTCTTTAAGATTTGAGCGCACCTCCCCCTGTAGATTCTCCTGACCCTCTGTGGCAGGGACCGCTATCCCCATCCGTGCAAGGCCCTCCGTGCAGACGTGTGTGCAACATGGCTCGGGATGAATAGGCTGCACTGTGAGCTCTGCAGCCTGGCCAGGCTGTCCTCACCTTGGCGCTCACTCTGTGGCCTTGCCCAGTGCCTGGTACAGAAGGTTCTCATAACCATCTGCTGAGAGAAGGACGGAAAGTGTGGAGGACTCTGTCCTGAGACCAGACTCCCCCAAGTCCTCCTCACCCTAGAACACTCTCACGTCAGGAACTAAGGTTTATAAGAAAACATAGCTGGGATTCCAATGTCAATTTGCACCACACTCCTGACAACACCGTGCATGGAATGCCACTCCCCATCCTGCCCCTGCCAGCCAGGCCTCGGGAACCTGAGAGCCCTCACACCTCATGGGGGGCCTGGCAAAGCTGGCACTCGCCCCAGGCAGCCGGGATGTTCAGTCCCAGTTCCACTGATGGTCTGGTTGATTAATACCAGGTGTCACTTGATGGCTGGCAGACAGACTGGTCATCAGGAATGGGGCTACTTTGGGAAGCAAGCCCACTTTCCCTTAGCCAGCTGCCCCGCCCAGCCATGGGATGGCCTATCCCACCTCCCCAATTTTGGACTCCCTCAAGGGAAAGCTGACCAGGCGAGGCTACTCCTCTGGCCTTTGGGATCTAATGGCTCTAGACCAGTGGTTCTCAACCTTGGCTGCACATTAGAATCACCTGGGAATCTTTTTAAAATCCTGATTTCTGGGCCTCATCAGTTTCTTTGGTATGGGGTGAGGCCACAACATTAGTAACAAAGAAACAGAATTTCCGGAGGATGAGGCCCAGAAATTAGGATTTTAAAAAGATTCCCAGGTGATTCTAATGTGCAGCCAAGGTTGAGAACCACTGGGCTAGATACACCCCAAGCACTAAGTTAGTAAAACCAGTTGCTATAAGAACACAGTGTGGGAGAGAAGCAGCCCGAGGAAGCGCAAGCAGCATTCCCTCCAGGGGCTTCCACGCCTTGTCCAGGACTGACCGTCAGAAGGTGAGTGAGGCACGGGCCACTTCCAGTTGGGTTCATTTATTTGTATTTTTTAGTGAAGAAATGCCCAAACAGAGCCCCGAACGCAGACACCACGAAGTTTCAATCGCACTGTACATGCGCGCCCGCACGTGGTATTTTGTGGAAGAGCCACACTCAAGGGGCCAAAGAACCGCATGTGGCTCACGAGCCGCAGTTTGCTGACCACTGCTCTAGACAAACATGCAAAACTAAACCCTCCTCCTCCAGCGTCCATGGGTTTGACAGCAAGCGGAGTGTTCTGGCCGGGGAGGTGCAGGGGATCCAGCCAGAACACTCCAAGGACAAAGGGTGGCTGAGCCCCCACACAGAGGAGATCTGGGGAGTCAAGAGACACTTTAATGTCAGAGGTGAAGGCGTCCTCAGCAACCATCCGTCTGTCTTGCTCTGGGCAGATATGGATGCTGAGCCCCAGAGGGAAGGAACTCGCCAAGGTCATATGGTGAGCAGTAAGTGGCAGGACAGGACTCCTGTCCAGGACGTTGGACAATGGGTCCCTTCTGTAGCTCTTAAGAATGGCCTTCAAAGAAGATACAGGGCTGACCTGGGAAAGCAGGGCAGGGTGGGAATAATGTAAATAATGTTTACATGGCGCTGGTTGGGCTATGGATGCTTTCTATCTGTGAGAACACACTACCCACTCCACCCTAGGCACAGATGAGGATGCTGAGGCTCAGAAAAGTGACGTGATTGTCAAGCCCACAAGACCAGGGAGTGGGGCAGCCTGTCCCCTGCTTTCTCCTTGTACCCAGCCTAGCCCCTGGACTACAAGCTTATTACTGTGAGGACAGATCAAGATGCTGTCCATCCCTCGAGAGTGGTCCTACTATCTGGCTTTCATGGAAGAATAGCTGGGCCTGGCATGGGGCACGCCATCCCCTCCTCTCTGGTACATTCCATCAGTCCTCTTGGAAAGTCCCCTCTGACCAGGCCCCAGACAATGGGATTCGAGGAGGAATGAGATCCCTGGAGGAACTCAGAGCTGCCAGTGTGATGGTTGCTGTGCTGAGGAAGCTCAGGGGGTGGGCAGGCTGCCTGGGTTGGCAGGAAGGGTGGTGACCAGGAAGTCCCGCCTCTGAGGCTACTGGCTTCCTACCCCAGAAGAGCACAATTCACCTGGAGACAGGACTGTGGAGATCTGGGAACTTCACTCATGGGCACCTGGGTTGCTAGGTTACCACAACAGCAAGGGAGGGAGAGGGGCTGCATGGAGTGGTGAGAAGTTGAGGACCCCTGGCACTTGTCAGCGTGGCCAGTGGTGTGTACCAGTCCCCTGCTACTCCACTGACCACCCTCTCTCTGTCTTTGGCTGCCTCCAGCCCAGCCTCCCAGCTCTGTTGCTGTTTAGCTTATCGAATTTTCCTCAGCTGCGATCACTGACCTGCTTCTTTAAGCTGCCGGGTCTGAGGGTGGACGATGAAGTGCACAGGCGCCGTTTGTCCTGAGTGCCTTCCCAGCTGGTTAGAAATCCCCTCCACTCCCTGGCAAGGTGGTCGGCCAGCCCTGGTGCACACCCCCGTGACGAGACGCTCACTACCTACGGAGTCAGTGCTAAGCCGCTCCAATTCCTCATCAGCTCCGACTCTTAGAAAACGTTTCTTCTCACTGAGCTGGAATCTGCTGTCCCTAACCCCCCATCTGGGAACCCCGACCACGTCTGCTCCTTCTGGCCTGATGGTCCTTGAAAGACTGGTGGCTCCCACCAGGTCTCCACACATCTTCCCTTCTCCAGGGACGTCCAGGAGTGCCTGTTTCCTGCCAAGCGGCTCTGCCATGTGTCACTGTCCCTCTCAGGGCAGAGCCCAGAGGACTGGGTGGGGTTGGCCCTGAGCAGAGAGCGCAGACCAGTCTCTCCTTGCTTGGCTGCACTGATCGTACTGTCTACATGGCCGGCCGCACACGGGCTCCTGACTTGCATCCCAGCAGCTCTCTCCACCATGCGGCTTCTAAAACCGGCGACTGGAGCAGAGAGGACTTCACTGCTCCTGGTGCTGTGCTGTCCTGTCTGGAGGGCCTGGGTTTTCATTCCCTAATTCTGTCACCAGCTCTCTATGTGTCCTTGGGGAATACCTCCTCTGTCTCGGCCTCTGTTTTCCTATCAGTAAAATGGGTTTTAGACAATCTGTTGGGTCCCATCTTTGGTTGACTGATGAAACTCTCAACCCAAACACTCTTTTCTTATGTGGGGGCTGCCTAACCTGACAGCAATGCCTCGTGGGTCAGAAAGACCTGACAGTTTACAAAGCAGCCACAAGTGCCACCACCAACAGGATTCTTCCCAGCTCTTCCCAGTGTTCCTCACAACCTTTGAAAAATACCAAAAATCAGACTTGTCCAATCAGCAACCTAGAACATAAGGTGGCCTCGAGTCCTGACCCTACAATTTAGGCCAGCCACGTCCCCTCTCTGTGCCTCAGTTTCCTCACCTGCAAAATGGGGACAAGCTGTTTTTTTATCAGAGGGTTGTTGTGAGGTTTGAGAGAGCAGGTATGCTAAGAGCTTCACACAGTCCCTGGCTCAGGCAGATGTGAACGCGATTCCTGGTTATTCAATATAAACCCTAGGAAGAGGCCCCTCCTCTTCTGGGGAGGCAGAAGCAGAACATAAAGACGCCTCTGTATCCCAGGGGGATAAGATCAAATTGAAAAACCCAGGCTTGAAATAACTCGTGCTGGCAAGTTTCCCGGGGGGACGCCGGAGGGTCTTTCTGCCACAGACTCGAGAGCCGCTGTGCTCTGCTGGAGGCTGCGGAGAAGGGCTTGGGGGTGACGAGGCTGTACTCACTTCAGGGACAGGGAGTAGTCGTGCTTGCTGGTCTGGCTGTTCCGGACGAGGTAGCTGCACTCCTTGCAGAGTCGCAGCAGGTTCTCGGCCTCTCCTCTGCTGATGGCTCCGTGATACCATCTGGGGAGAAGGGAGAGGGTCAGAACCCTAGGACAGGACCCCACAGCTGACACCCTGAATTCTGCTCCTCCTCGAGGAGGCTCAGCCCCTCAGAAGGCAGCTGGCACGGCCAGGGCCTCCTTGTTATAAAGCAGGTGCGTTTGTGCACTCATGCCCAGTCATTCATAGACATTTGCCGAGTGCCTGCTGCCTGCCAGATCCCGGGGAGAGGACAGTGAACAAACCCACAGTCACCTCCCTCACGAAGCTGACATCTAGTGCAGGTGCTACGGAGGAGATAGAGCAGGGCTGTGTGGTCTGGAGCTCTTGGTAGGGACGGCTGTTTTAGGCAGTGGCCACGGAAGCCTCCGGAGAGAGTGCCATTTCAGCGTGGGCCTAAAGGAGGTGCTGGAGGAAGCCCGAAGGACAGCAGCTGGAAAAGAGCATTCTGGCAGAGGGATGGGAAGCAAAGGCAGAGGCCAAGGCGGGAGTGCCTGCTGGGTTTTGGAAACAGCAAGCTGGTCAGTGTGGAGTGAGGCAAGAGAGGGGTTGGGGGTCAGGATGAGGCCCAGGAGGCCATGAGGCAGGGTCGGGTCTGGGGGCCTTGTGTGCAATGCGAGGCTTCTGGCTTTCTCCATCCAAGTGACACCAAAGCCAGACCAAATCAACATAGGAGGGACATGTGTTGATTCTGAGACACCTGCAGGACAATGAGCAGTGCTTGTCACTCAGGAGGGTGGCCACCCCACTGCTCCAGCCACATGAATCTGGCATCAACCGGGCACGAGGGAATCCAGCATCACTCCTTCTGGTCACCATGTGGTTGAGTGGCAGAATCAGAAGGAGGGGTGCAGAGGCTGGTGGCCTAAGGCCCCCAACTGCGGGACAAACGGGGAAGAGTTGAGAATGGAAAGACTGAAGGTACAAATTCAGTGGAAGAGTGAAGACCCTAAGACGCCAGTTAGTGGGCATACTCAGAACACATCTGGAAGGTGGTGAGAGACGGGGCCAGGAAGAGAACCAGAGGTGCTGGACAAGGCGGGAGCAGGCTCTGGCTGCAGAGGCACATATGGTTGGTCACTGACCAGCCAGGTGGTCTGGGGCAAGCGGCTTAACCTGGCTGAACGTTGGTTCTCTATCAAGTTAGGATCCCTCCACCCCTGTTTTGGGGCGGAAGATTAGATGGGATGATAAAAGGACTTATGCAGAGCCTGGGATGGGATGAATTTCTATGAATGGCAGCCATGAGCATCAGCAGGACGAGGCTGAACTTGCAGATGGCCTTGGGGAACTTCCCCAGTGATCATATTTCTGGCTGCTTCCTACCCCGGAGGCTGCATTTTAAATTCCCTGGTGTAAGCGGGATGCTGCCTCCTGGTCCTGGCTACGCCACGAGTGCCCTGCCAGCAGCCCTGAGCGTTCGGGTACAGATATTCTCTTAGAGAAACACTGCCTTTCACCGTTCACTTCCTGCCATTCGCAAGGCGGTGCTCTGAACAGAAGCAGCAGTGTTGATGATGTAATTATGAACAAAAGGAACCCCAACCAGCTCCAGGAACGCAAGGACTGGAGAGCAGGTATGAGGAGCGTGTGACTGAGTCACTGACTGCCCAGGAGATGACCACTCACAGGTCAGCCCTGGGGCTGGACACTTGGAGGAGAGACTGGCCCAGGGAAAAAGTAGGGAGTGTGCAGACCTCAGAGCCGCCTTCCTTTCTAAACTGGCACAGAAATGAGGGGGAACGTGAAGTTGGGGCTGCACTGATCAAACACTTCAGAGGCGTGAAGGCTCAGGTGTGCTTCAGAAAGGCCTGTCGTTGGGAGAGACAGACAAGGATGGCACCGACTTTAGAAACAAGAGTTAACAGTTGGGAAGGTTGTTTTCTGGGAAATTTCACCTGTGTAACACACCCCTAGTGAGCTGACAAAAACTGTTTTATTAGGAAAACAGGTTCCAGCCATGTGAAGCAGGTGTCCTCAGGGAAGGCCTGGAAGTGGCCTCTGGGGAAGTGCTGCCTGCTGCCCGCCCTGCCCGGAGCCAGGAGCAAGCGGGCTCTTGGGAGGTGGTGGCAGTCGGGCCTCTCAGGGGAGTAAACAGGATAAGCTGCTGGTTCCCTCCTGGGCTGCTCCAGCTGCTCCGAATGGAGAGAAAGGCAGGGAACTCAGGGGAGGCTCAAGGAGACCCAGGCAGAGTGTGGGAGAGAAGGGCACTGAGGGGGAAGCCACTGGCCAGGAGACAGGAAGGGCCTGAGTGGTCTTGAAGGGGGCTGGGGGCCAACTACTGGCCCTGAGCAGGCTCTGCGGGACTGAGAAGAGAATCCAGGCAGAGGACATCTTGGGGATGTGCTGGACTCAGTGGAACTGGCCCATCAGGTCAGAACCACAGGGATTAAGGTCCAACCATCGCCATCCAGGCCATCCAATATCCATTAGCTCATCCAGTATTTACTCACCACTCACTCCATCCTTGATCTCTCGGGGCTGATACAGGGAGAAGGAGAATCAACAAATAGATTCAGGAAAGGATTTCAGATAGTGACAAGAGCTATGTAGGAATACTGGAGGTGTGGGGGGGGGCTGGAGTGTACTTCAGAGTGAAGGAGGTTCCCAGAAGATGACATTTGACCTGAGACTCTCCATCGTGAAAAGGAGCCAATCATGTAAAGGGCCAAAGAAAACACGCTTTCTGCAGAGGAGCCAGCAAGGGCCAAGGTCCCGAAGTAGGAATGAGCTCGGGATGCTCATGGAGCAGCAAGGATGGTCCGGCACTGTGAGCGGTACTGGATGAGGGTGGAGCCGGAGGTGGGGCTCAGTGCCCTGAGGCCTTGTGGGCCAAGGGAAGAAGTCCGAGTTAAGGCAATGAGAGTTTTAACCAGTTAACTACCACTCGTCCCAAACGGAAACCATCCCCACATGCCACGATATTTTGAATTTAATTGCATCTGTAGACTCTTAAGATGGTCCGGCACTGTGAGCGGTACTGGATGAGGGTGGAGCCGGAGGTGGGGCTCAGTGCCCTGAGGCCTTGTGGGCCAAGGGAAGAAGTCCGAGTTAAGGCAATGAGAGTTTTAACCAGTTAACTACCACTCGTCCCAAACGGAAACCATCCCCACATGCCACGATATTTTGAATTTAATTGCATCTGTAGGCTCTTATGGCGTTCAGGGGGTCAATCTGAGATTGTTACTTGCTCTGGATGATCTTACGAGATCAACCAGGCTACCTGAAGAGGGACCAGAGGGGAAGTGAAGCAGGACACAAGTCAGGAGGCTTCCGCAATGGTCGAAGGGAGGTGGCCACGGAGATGGGAGGACGGAACAGAATCAGGCTGTATTTTGGATGGATAATTGGCAGAACTTACTGATGCATTAGATGCTGATGCCAGGCAAAAAGAGGGCTGAAGATGACTCCAGGTTTGTGGCTTGAGCAACCAGCCACATGTTACATGTGGTGCTATTTATGGAGGTGGGGAAGCTGGGGGAAGAGTGTCTAGGAGATGATGAGGAGCCCAGATCCAAACACGTTAAATTTGAGATGCCCATTCGTCAGCCAAGTGGAGATGCCAAGAAGGCAGCTGGATGTGGGAGTCGTGTGTTCTGGGAGACGTGTGGGCTGGGATGTGCGCTGGTGAATCACCACCAGATCCTGAGCCCCGGACCGTCCATCCTTCAGGTCAGGCTGAGGTGAGGAGCCAGCAGCCAGGGAGGCAGGAGAAAAACCCGGAGCAGAGTGTCTGTGAAGGAGGGAGCTGGCTACTCTGCTGGCTGCCCTGGAGGACAGAGGCCGTCACCTGGTGACTGGGCAGGAAAGGGGAGCAGACTGTGGTGGGTGAGAGAGAAGGGGAGGTGACGAAAGAGAGAGAGAAAGTGCTGGCAGCTCCGTGGGGACTCCGTCCATTCAGCAGACAGTATTTATGAGCACTGATAATGTGCCAGGCACCGTTCTGCACACTGGGAGGAAACAGTGGTGACCCAAACAAGTTCCAGCCCTCACGGAACGTATGTTCCCAACACAGGCAGGAGCTAGAGAGGATCAAGATTTTATTTATTTACTTTTAAGAAGTTTGTTTTAAAGAGAAGTTCACGACTAGAACATGTTTATGTGCTGGTGGTAATCATGATGCAGGACAGAGGGGGCTGTGGGCTGCCTCCAGGAGTGCGGGAGAGGGGTGTCACCTGAGCAGCTGAGCTACTCTTCCACCGTCCCAGGAAGGAAAGCAGATGTGTGACTGCCCCTCAACAGCCCTGTAAGACAGCCCCCCTCCAGCGTGTCAGCCTCCGCCTCCCCTCTCCCCTGTGCCTCCTAAACACTGAGGCATCATCAGTCAGGTGAGGGATTAGGCGATCCTCTCTGTCTGGGTCACTGGGCTGTGCTGGAGATGGGACTTTACCTGAGCACACCTCTTGGTGATGAGTCAGGGCCTTCACAGGCCAGAATAATCCTGGGAAGAAGAGATGATGGGGGAGGGAGAGCCAGCCTTGACTCTGAACTTGGCCAAGGGCCTTGTCAGACGGGAACGGGAAAGGAAAGAGGGCAGAACTGTCTTTGAGGGCCCCAACCTGTCGAAAGCTCTGCAAGGGGGGTGGGGGTGGGGGGGAGGGTAGGCTGGGCTGCTGACCCCATACAGACGTGGGTCAGGATGCACATTGAACAGCTCCTGGCATCTCTGGATCATATTGTGTTTGTTGATTAAAAAGTAAACAGTTTGAAGGGGGGGGGGGGGGGGGGGGGGGGGGGAAGGGTAGGCTGGGCTGCTGACCCCATACAGACGTGGGTCAGGATGCACATTGAACAGCTCCTGGCATCTCTGGATCATATTGTGTTTGTTGATTAAAAAGTAAACAGTTTGATCAGACATAAGCAAAACCTGCCGCCCAATCTGCATGTCTATGAGAAACGGTGAACACAACGCTCCCCGCACCCATGTGCTCAGTACAGCAGGCTCGGAGGCTGCAGCCTCCCGAGGATCGCACATGCTTAAAAAAGGCACACGAGCACATGACATCATCGGAAAACCCTGCATCCTGCTCACCGGGCCAGCATTTCCTGTGAGGGATACACTGTCGGCTGTGCTGAGACCAGAATTCCCTGGGCGGAGACTGATATAGTTCGTGATCTTATAAGGAACCAGCTTGGTGTCAGCTAATCTCTTGGCGGACTGGACTGAGTGCCTGCTCTGTGCCAGGTGTGTGCTAAGGGTGGGGGCAAGAGTGTGCATGAGGAGAGGGAGTGAGGGGAGAGTCACAGCGCTGGAGTTCAAATCCTATCTCTGCACTGGAACCCTGGGAGCCTACAAATGCTCTGCCCCGCTTGGAGTTCCGATTTTCTCATCTATGCAATGGGGACGATAACCCATTTATCACACATTTGCTTGTTAAGAGGATGATACACCCGATGGTACCAGCACAAGATCCAGGACCTGCTTTATCATGTTCCCGGAGAACCTCACTCTAGTTCAGGTATGTGGAATGCGGAGAAAAGGAGAACGCAGTCTGGGGCAATTCAGCGTGAGGGGCAGGATTGGGAGGTGGGACTTCATGCAGGTGATGGGGAGCCACTGAAGGTCTCAGAGCAGATCAGGGGCCTGTTTACATTAAAACCCTGGCAGAGAAGGGAGACGATCATCATGGTCAAGGGGAGGACAGAAACCAGAAACGGGCCTTACCAGCAGTGTTAGGAGAAGTGAGGAGGCAAAGGGGCTGTGAAAACCCAAACCAAGAGTGTCAAAGCCTTGCACGAATACCAGGCAGATGTGGGACAACAACATCACAAGCTAGAAAATAAATCTAATTTACAAGTAGGGGCGGGATTTGGTATACACTTAGCTACTCAAAAACTCATGTGATGTAGGAGGGCGGAGTGAACTGTGTCCCTCTTACTAGTCCTCAGAAGTAAGGGAGGTGATGCCATGTGGACGGAGAAAGCACCTGCCACTGACCTTATGGTGGCCTTTACCTTCCATGAGCCTCAACATGCCCATCTGTATGTGGAGGCAGGGTAGGGGTGTAGACTGAAAGACCCCTGGAGCACTAACATTTTCTCAGTCTGTGAGTTTTTAAAACAAGATAAAGCAAGGGAAGAGCAGTGACTATGAGCTGGGAGCTGAGGTTGGGCTTTGCCTCTGAGAACTTACATTTGCTTCTCCAGTGGGACAGCAGGATCCACTCTTTCTCCCAGGATCCCACAGAACTCGGGGCTCCCATGCTTGATGGGCTTGAAGCCCCCTCCGGGAGCTCGAAGCTGGCGCCGCCGGTCCCGGGAAGGCGAGGGGGATGACTGTCGTTTCTCGTTGCCGTTAAACTGGGCTGTGGAGAGAGAGTGCACAGTTACGGGAGCTCGGCCTGAGGAATTCCCGGGGGGCATAGTGAGGTAAGAGTCGACTGACTGTTCTCCTTGGGGCTTTACAATTGGCAGAAGGAAGAGCTCCAAGCAATGAGCACACATGGCTCTCAGGATGTGGACTTCCTAAGACAGGGCACGAAGGTGCTGTGAAAGCCAGGCAGCACTTCCATGGGGCTGGTTAAGTTTGCAGAAGCCACTGAGCTCAGCCTTATCCCCAAAGGAAGCCCCTGCAACCTCCAGCCAGGAGGGGGGACCCGGCATTCCTGCGTGGGCTCAGTCCCCTGGACAGTTCTCAGGAAAGAAAGTTATTCCTCATTTTGTGCCAAAAACCTGCCTCCAAGTGGCTCCTCTCCTCCCATTCTCCCATCCCACCAGTGCCGCAATGGCCACACTGGCCCCCTTTCTTCTGGGACAACCCTACAAGAGTTACAGTCAGAGTCATGTGGCATCCCCCGGTCTGCATCTCTTCACTGTCCCCTGTGTGGGTCCTACACAGCCAGACCTGCCCTGGGCCCAGCCCCCAGGTAAGGCCGGACAGTGCCCATCACGGGGGACAGGCCCTTGCTGGGCCTATGGGAGCATTGTTCACCCCCGTGGGCTTGGGGAAGATGACCCTGGAGATAATGCACAAAGAGCAGAAAACACTGAGCTGAAACGAGCTGCTGGGAGGATTCCTGGAGATCAGCAAGTCCACCTTGCATGTCTCTCTTTGGGCCTCAGTTTCCTCCTGAGATGAAATAGGGGTGATGATGGCGCCCACCTCATGGGGTTGTTGTGAGGATTCAGTCATGTGTGCCATGTAGTCTGTGCTGGTTCAGTGTTATTTTGCATCCATATTTTACAGGTTTTTATTATCATGTCTGCTCAATGTGGACACAGTACTGGTCAGCTACTGAACTGATCTGAGTCCTCTCCTAAGCCTGCCCTGGCCAGCTGGGAGCCTTGGCTGTCACTCAACCTCTCCGAGGCCCCATCTGCTCCATCACCAGGCTGCTGTGATGACCAGATGAGGGAATACATCCTAAGGGCCTGGCACACGCAGAGTGCTGAGTAAACTGGGCCAGGGCCTGCGAAACAAGGTTCCCAAAGCTGTTACTAGCTGCTGGCCAAACGACACACGTCTTCGGCCAAGCGACACACTCCCCTCCCACCAGCAATCAACCTCATTCACGGGAGGGAGGCGGTGGGAAAACCCTGCCTGTCTGTGGCGATTGAGGTCTATAAGGACCGAGGATGGGAATGAACTTGTCCTGTGACAGAAAAGGTCATCCGTCAGGTCTGTGGAGCACTTCCATCCCTCCCACACTCTTCTCTAGTAACCACTGAGGAAGACAGCAGGAAGGGAGGCTCCTGCCAGGCATGTCAGACCATGTGTGTGGTCACCTTCAGGCTGCAGCGGGGCCCGCGGGCCATCCGTTCACCCTCTCACGTCTAAACACTCATTCACACGGGCCCAACACACTTCAGGGCTGGGGAAACAGCAGTGAGCGAGAGAGCTACCCCTGCTGTGGAGCTCAGAACCTCGGTGAGGAGACAAACAATAAATCAGTCAGTCAGACCCCCAGCTCACCAGCTGGTGGTAAGTGCGTTGGAGAAACGAAAGCAGGGCAGGGAAGGCCTCTCGAAAGGTGACATCTGAATGAATTCCTGAGGGAAAGGAGGGACGAGCCATGAGGACATCTGCCGGCAGGAAGGGCATTCCAGGCAGAGGGAAGAGCAAGTTCAAGGGCCCTGAGGTGGGAATATGCCTGGGTGTTGGGAGAAGCAACACAGCCGGGAGGGCTGCGGGGGGTTGGGGGTGAGGGGAGGCGAGTGGGAGGAAGCGGAGCTCAGAGGGCCTTGGGAAGGACTTTGGCTTTATTCTGAGAGAAAGGAGAGCCATTCTGATGTTTTGATGGGAAGGTTTTAACCTGGCACTTTTATAACAGAATTGCTGTGCTGAAAAGAGATAGAGGGCAAAGGGCCTATGGGAACTCCCTGTACTTTCTGCTCAATTTTGATGTGAACCTAAAATTGTTCTTTAAAAGAGTTTATTTAAAAAAAAAAAAAGCGAGATGGAGGGGGAGCACAGGGAGAGCAGCGAGGAAGCTACCATAGGAGGGGCTGGCCTGGGAGCCGTGCATGGAAGTGACAGAGGGTGTCAGATTCTGGCTGCGCTCTGCAGGCAGGGACAGCAGGACCTTCCCGGCACTCAGTGTGGAGTGCGAGGACAAGAGGAGACAGCAGGCTCTTGGCCTGAGCGCTGGAAGGAGGAGGCTGGCATTATCCAGGACGGGGAAGACACAGAAAACTCTAGGCTTCGTGAGCAGCCGTGATGTCAGGACTGGCAGCATGGAGCAGGGACAGAGCGAGGACTGCTGGGGTCCTGCCCTGCTCTCTGGCCACAGTTCTGTCCTGTGTCCACCCTCAGGCACAGATAAGACAGCAATGACCTCAAGGCCCCTCTAGGCTTTCATAGAGGTGGTGAGGGGGTAAAGCCCAGAGCTGGGGCCTTGTCACACGTGTCACTATGGGCCCCTCCCTGGCTTCCCAGCAGCCCGAGTCTCCCATCAAAGTTCCTGCTGAAGCACACCAGCCCTCATGGCAGTCAGTCAAATGGGGTATATAGCTTTTTGAGGAGAAGAAGGGTGAGGAAGAGGTGAAGCAGGTTCTGAGCTTGCAGAGCCCTGTAGGAGGGGCTGGCTAACCATGGGATCAGGCAGACAAGAAGGGGCCTGGTCAGAGAACCCCTTTCACAAGAGCTGGAACTTGATTCTTGGTTAAATCAATAAATTCAATTCTCAGATTAGGTTTTAGAATCAGTCCTCTATAACTGCTGATGGAGGGTTTGGGGCAACCCCGGAGGCAGGGAGACCAGCTAGGCAGATGGCGAGGCCAGGGCCCTGTGTAATGAATGCCCCATTGAGATGGAGATCTGGGCACAGCAGGAGATGGGGTCAGGGGCATGGGACCATCTAGTGCAGTGGTTCTCAACCTTCCTAATGCCACTTCCCTTTAATACAGTTCCTCATGTTGTGGTGACCCCCAACCATAAAATTATTTTCGTTGCTACTTCATAACTGTAATTTTGCTACTGTTATGAATTGTAATGTAAATATCTGATATGCAGTATGTATTTTCATGTTACAAATTGAACATAATTAAAGCATAGTGATTAATCACAAAAACAATATGTAATTATATATGTGTTTTCCGATGGTCTTAGGCGACCCCTGTGAAAGGGTCGTTCGACCCCCAAAGGGGTCTCGACCCACAGATTGAGAACCGCTGAGCTAGTGCCTCTCCACCATGCCTTCCCTTCCCTCTGTTCTCTTTCTGGTTGTCTTGAATGGAGAGGAGGGAGCAAGCTAAGGGGCATGGTGTGGGGAGGGTCTAGGTGAGAGATGGAGGTTCTCGCTTACTTTTGCCACCTGCAGAGGAGAGGGAGGGACCATATAAATGGCAAGGCATTTTCACCGATGACAACCTGGGGCTCCACTGGCTAAAATAAGAACTTTAGTATTTCTGCCAAAATAAATTCCTACTACACACCTCCTGGCACAGCAACTGAGAAGAGAGGCACAGAGCATGGAACATGGGTTGGGGAAGAAACCCAAGCTCTTCAGAACCACCAACAACTTGGCTAACTGTCCAGCCTTAGATCTGGCCACGCCCCCTTCCAGGAGGATCACTCACCATGACCCAACCCTCCACTGAGCTGTATCAACCTCTCCACCTGACTGATTCCACCTGCCCTTCAAGGGTCACCTCTTCCAGGAAGCATTCCCTGACCCCAGACTAACCCTGATTTAAACGATGGTATCCTAATCGCCAGTTTCCCCTCTGGATCCCCAGGAGCCCAAAGGCAGGGGCTGTACCATACCTGCCCCAACCGCCAAGCGTAGCCCATGCCTACGACATAACAAGTGCTCAACAAAAGACTGAAGAAACTTAATAAACTGTTGTTTCACTTTATTGGGGGGAAAATATCAGTTTTCTGACCAAATAAATTGGATAAAACCTAATAACATCCTAGTCAACACTGTAATTCCCTGCTGAATTAATTTATACATTTGCGTGCAAGCTTAATAATATAGCCACATATTTTAGAGAGAACAGGTGGTGATGAATGACAGGCTTAATTAGGCAAATCATTTCACCTAAAATAAAAATATACAAACTCCAAGTGTAGTGATTCAGGAGCAAAAGAAAAAAACAACACACGTGTTGAACTGAAGCTCCAAACACGACTGCCTTCATTCCTTCTAATTAAGTTTGTCTTTAATCTGCAATTTAAAATGGCAATTCTTTTAATTTAGTGACTTTCTGCAAAAGATAAAGGAAGACACAGCCCTCAAAAGAATATGTGCATTTAGAGAAAAAAATATGCCACCCTGTAGAGCTGTTTAGAATGACAGGACCTAACTAATCCCACCTAATTAATCCCACCTGTAGGCAATTACACATTCTGCAGGAGGAAGGGGTCAGGTGGGCAGGACCAGACCCAGTGGCAGCGGGAGCGGGAGAGGAGCCTGGTGAATGGCTCCCCCAGCCTTTTTCTCCAGGGCAGGTGACAAGGCCCCTCTGTGATGCCGGAAATGTCCTTCCAGCAGTTGTGGTCTGGTGACAGGCCTCATCCTTTAGACCCAGCTCAGGTGCCCCTCACATTCCAGGAGGCCTCTTACTCCCGCTCCATCCAGATTAGCTTCCAACGCTGTCCCCTTCCTACTTATTCAGTAATGTCCTCACTTAACATCACTGACAGTTTCTGTGACTTTAAGCAAAACGAAGTATAACAAAACCAACATTGCCACAGGCTAATTCATTTAAACGAGAGTTCCTTCAGCATCATTATAATGACATAATGTTCAGGGAAAGGACGTTATTCGAGGACCTGCTGTATTCTAGATGTTATACCAACTGGCCCTGAAGTTCGGTCACTGAAAATGAGGGAAGAGGGTGTCCAAGGCACCCGCTCTAACCC